TAGTAGTAGCAGCAGCAGCAGCAGCAGTAGTAGTAGTAGTAGTAGTAGTCGTAGTAGTAGTAGAGTAGTAGTAGTAGTAGTAGTAGTAGTAGTAGTAGTAGTAGTAGTAGTAGTAGTAGTAGTAGTAGTAGTAGTAGTAGTAGTAGTAGTAGTAGTAGTAGTAGTAAGTAGTAGTAGTACGTTAGTAGTAGTAGTAGTAGTAGTAGTAGTAGTAGTAGTAGTAGTAGTAGTAGTAGTAGTAGTACTAGTAGTACTAGTAGTACTAGTACTACTACTAGTAGTAATAGTAGTAGTAGTAGTTGTTGTTGTCGTTGTTGTTGTTGTTACTGTAATAGTTGTAATAGTGGGAGTAGGAGTCGTAGGAGTAGTAGGAGTAGTAGGAGTAGTAGGAGTAGTAGGAGTAGTAGGAGTAGTAGTAGTAGTAGTAGTAGTAGTAGTAGTAGTAGTAGTACTAGTAGTAGTGGCAGCAGCAGCAGTAGCAGCAGCGGTAGCAGTGGTAGCAGTAGTCGTCGTCTTCGCCATAGTAGTCGTATAGTATGGTGGTAGTGGCAGTGGCAGCGGCAGCATCAGCAAACGCAGTAGTAGTCGTCGTGTATAGTCGTAGTGTTAGTGGCGGTAGGAGCAAACGTGGACGTGTGGTCGTCGTGGTAGTGGAAGTAGCAGCAGCAGTGGTTGTAGAAGCTATTGTTGTTGGTGGTGGTGGTGCTTGTTCTTGTTGTGGCAGTCATAGTGGTAGTGATCGTGTCGGTGTTGGCGGTGGTGCTTGTTACGTTGTGGCAGTCATCGGTGATAGAGCCGGAACAGCAGCAGCGCAGGAGCGGCAGCAGCAGCAACAGCTCTGTTTGTGGCAGTAGTATGCTCGCATTGGTTCGTATAGTTACACTAGGCACATTACCGTTGAGGTGCACCAACACTGGACAACCAGCGGCTTGTAGCTGCGTTTTGATCGTATGCCTGCAACCAAGCAAATGCTGTTTCGGGCAGTCGGCACAAGTCCGGACCACCTGAGCCTGCCACTGTGTGGCGGCGGCGCCAAGCACGATGACCAGAAACTGACAGGAGTACGAGTAGCAATCATGGCAGCCAGCAAAACCTTGCCATCACTGCGCATGCATCGGCTGCGGCGACAGCATGCCACGGTTCTGTGCATGCTGCACCACTTGGGGCCGGAAAGGCGTGACAGCAGTTTCAAGCATGCTGCGCCGAATGGGCGCGCTGCTGTGTGCTCCTTGTCAGTGTTGTTTTTCTGGGTGTTTTAAATGACACGTGACACCGCATAGAATGATCCTGATGCTTCTGGGAACATCGCTTCGATTCGTGTCAGAGCTCTCCCTGAAACACAAGCCGTGGGCAGAGTGCGGAGTCAAGTCTTGAGCCTCAGCGGCGTCTGAACAACTCGGCTGTCGCGACGGAGCCTTGGCGTGGCATGCTGCAAGGCATGCCCCAGCTAAGCTCAGGTTTGGCTGATGTTTCGTTAATGACAGGACAAGGCATGTATAGGTCCAGCCTAGACTCCTGCAATGTGATGCAAAAGAAATGCCGGCTTCGCCGAATCTCTAGGAAGCCCTTATGTCGCTTTGCCAGATAGCCTTGGCTTATGCGTGCCCACTGATCTCAAGACAGTAGTCAGTAGTGGGACTGGTAGACCGCTGGTCCCTGCCACTCATGACAAAAGCGGAGCAGAAGAAAGCTGTTGAGTTCACCCGCATGTGCAAGTTCTGGAAGACGAACGAGTGCAAGATGGGGGCGGATTGCACCTTTGCCCACGAATCTTCGGAGCTACGCCCAAGCCCAAAACCTTGCTTCGAGTTCTCCAAAACCGGCTCCTGCAAGCGCGGGGAGGCCTGCAGATTTGTTCATTCATTGGATTGCCGAAAGAGCAAGAAGCCCAAAGACCTACCAGCTCAGTCCAGCAAAAGAGAGGAAGCTGAGCCCAAGATCAGGCCAGCTGATCTACATCCACAAGTTAGACATTGCCACTCGAGAGAAGAGTTTTTCGACATGTCCCAGTTGCACCAGCTCGCCCCTCCAGTCGCCTCCGATTTTGGCGACCAGTTCCGCCCTGACTTACGCATGAGGGAAATCGAAGCCTACGCCCGTGCCGCCAAAAGAGATCTTCGCCAGACAGCAGGTGCAGGGATTGTCCTGGACTCCAGCTTGAGCGAAGCGTTTGATCCTCAGGAATTTGCCGCCCTGCATCCAACCACCTCGAACAGGATGGCACGGCCAGCAGACCTGAGTGCTTTGACTTCCAGTTTGAGCACGGCGCCTTCGCATCTCCCCGATGCCCGCCCGCAGTCCTTCTGGATTTGAGATCTTGACCGTTCTTGAGCATCGTCTTGCGACAACGGAGTGGTCATGTAAATTTTACATTTCCTGTTCACGCAGTATCTTGGCGGATTGGCTGAGTACATAAGAGTGTGAGTGGGCTCAGCGGGGCGGGCACCAGCTGACTGAACATCGATGTGGATGCAGATTCCCTTGGACCATGAAAAGCTTTGCTTTTGGATTACCAGGGCTGCCTGATAAAACTATATCGGCACCAACTGAAGAATGGCGGTTTCGAGTCCCATGGGAATTTGCGAAAGAATATTTGCATAGCCACGGTTTCACTTCGTGATTCATTGATTGTGCAGCGCACGAGAAGCCGAAGATTCGAACTTCTGTGCTTTGATGCGGGCAGAGAACATCTGAAGTTACTAGGTTACTGCCAGCAGTTTTAAGGAGCTGCGGATGAGCCAGACTCTTCGCTTCGGACTTTTTTGCAGTTCCGGTGCAGCACCATCCGCAACGAAGTGTGCTATGGTGCTTTTAACTTTAGAAGTTAGTCACGGAGTCTTCAGCATTGACGTATGCGACTGAGCGTGATGGTGCTGAGTTCATGTCTCCCAGGCAGGTCTAAGATCTTGCCGTGCCTGCATCCGGGGTTAGATGACGGCACATTTGCACACATCCACTTGGCGAGGACGACCCCGAGCCGAAGACAGGTGGTGATTCTTGCTTCCAGGTATTCCGATCAAGTATGCTGCACATGGCAGGATACTTTGATTCCGGTTTGGCCGGTGTAAAGCGAAAGGCAGCCGAAATTGATTTTCGAAGTCCGTGCATGTCGATTCAAACGATGGTGATGAGCTTCATGTGCTTCTGAGACCTGCGACTCGTAGCTGGCAATTAGTGCTGCAGATGCTACTGGATTGATCGAGCTTGCATGTGCCGGTGCGGACGAAAGGATTCGGCACAAGCGACAAATTTCCAGAACGCCACAAAAGGCGCATAGTGTCTGATCACCCAAGTAGTCAGGTAGCCATGCCAAAAGCCGAGGCCAAGAACGCTGTGAAGTTCACTCGCATGTGTAAGTTCTGGAAGACCAATGAGTGCAAGATGGGGGCGGACTGCACATTTGCCCACGCTACTTCAGAGTTGCGCCCGAGCCCAAAGCCTTGCTTTGACTTTGTGAAGAACGGGTTTTGCGCTCGCGGGCAAGGTTGTCGCTTCGTGCACGAAGTCGTGGAAATGAAGACGACGGACAAGTTCGTGGAAGTGCAACACTCCGCCGTGAACCGTGGTGAGACTGCCGCTCCGGTCCTCGCTACCTACAGCATGCTCCCGAGCATTTCGGCACAGGTGCACATGGCTGCCCAGCTGACTGCTGCACAGCAGATGCAGCAATTTGGCGGGACTCCTCCTGCTCCTGTGTGTGCTCAAGCCAACCCGCGAATCGGGCTGGGGGCTCCAAAGCCAAACCCCTGCCTTCGTCCACCTCCCGGCTTGGAAAGCTTCGTCCCGGCCGTCCCAGCCCCACCAGGGCTCTTGGTCGCCGATCCCGAGGTCACCGTGCCCAGGACTGGGCTGCAGCGCACGGCCGATTCCCGTCGCTCCAGTTTGAATGACATCTCGTTAGACCTGGAGTGCATCAAGCTGCCCATCTCCAAGGCCGACTTGGAGGGAGCGGACGATGCCACGGTGGCAACACAGAGTTTTACGTCGACCATGTGCTTGAGTACAACCCCTTCAAGCTTCAGCGAGGTTGAGAGCCCCAACAAGCCAACATCTTTCTGGTTGTGATGTATAAAGCGCTCTCTCATTGCAGGGACATCCATGTGTTTAAATAAAGTCAGGGAGATCGCGTGCATGCTTCTCTTTGGTTTCCTGGGGCATTCCAAGTCTAAGTGAGCTTTGCGCAGGTCATGGTAGCGATGAGAGGCTTAATTTCCAAGTCCTGTCGCCTTTGTTTGTCACTTGGATGCCTCACCCGCTGTCTGCCTCTGAAACGTTGGCCTTTAGTAGCGAGAGGATTTTGACCTCGCGCCCACGCCTGCCCACAGCAGAGCCCAGCTGGAAAATCCCGTTTGCTGGCCCATCCCGGCCTCGCCAACTCGGAGTTAAGAATGGCCAGGGATTGGGTTGTTTGATAGTACCGGAGGTACTGGGTCCAGCTGGTGCCCTAAGGGTTCTGTGCTATACTGCAGTTGTTGGCTTCGTCTTCGTCTTGTTGAAACCCGACTGCTGTGCAAGGCAGAGCAACCTTCCATCTGTCTACGGGAAACAGTGGGGACATCACAGCCAGTGTCCATGTGCTGCCGAGCATCGAAGACTTCGGCGCGAAAGCCCGAATGCTCACGCTGTCGCAAGGCCCGTGAGCTTGCTCGGTGCCTACAATCCTTTCGTGTAGTTTGACCGGAAGGGTGGCAGCACGTATCTTTTTGGACAAGTGGCTGAGTGTCAAGAGTCGGACAGCGAAATTATTGGTTTAACATCCTCCGGGTAGTTGTGGTGGAGAATGCTGGTATGACTCATGACATTTGTGCGTTATCTTCTGCTGTTGCTTCACGACAATGTCCCTCACGACATTCCTGTAGCTTTCGCCAACATCACTTCAAAGGAGCAGCGCGCCATGCATCAGCGTGATGCATGCATGAAAAAAGTAGCCAGGGGGAGCTTTTCGTCTTCGAGTCATTCTTTTGCACGGGCGACGCACCAGACTGGCCTTAAAGCTGCAGGGGCCGCCGTTGAATGACGAGCCCAAACCGCCACTGCGTCAGCGCCTCAGGATTACACAGAATAGGCAGATCCGGTCGAGGCGCATATCGACGCTTTCAGAGAATCTGGCGATGAATCCTCCATGCTGAAATTTCAGACTAGAGACCCGAACATAGGCCTGTGCCACCCCTGAGGTGGCAAGAAACCAAATATAGGCCAGAGGGCCCCGCCGAAAACGAGCATGTTCAATGCATCAAAGGCATCGGGAAGAGCCAAACTGCAAGTCCGATTGTCAGCGCACGAGGTCTGATGAAGTGGCAGGCTGGTCGGGACGCCAGCGAGGCTCCAGGGCCACCGGGGCCCCTGCCATGTGTGCGGGTTATCGAGTCGCGCCAACATGCACTAACCTGTTCAGGGCAAGAACGAGACAGCGACTATGATGATGTGACCAAAAGCAAGCAAGTCTAATTCGACAAAACAGTGATCTCATACTGATCGTCGCTGGACTGGAATTATCTTAGACATTCGCTTATCAACTTCACTCATGGTTAAGCCGCATCAGCATGAACAAAGCCTGATCATCCTGACATCTGCCCGGGGGAATGCTAGTTGCATGTATATGATAGCACCTTCACAGAGCCGACTAGAACCGATGCGTGTTGATCTTCCTCTCTTTAGAATATATATGTACTTGTTTTTGACATCTCCGCTCCAAAAGGAGCGCCGGCCACGACCCGGTCCAAGGGCTCGCCCTGCCCGCGCTGAGCCGAAGGCCAAGACCCTGAGAGCTGAGAGTGCGGGTTTTTTCCTCGGAATTTAGCGGTTTAGGGTTAAAATTTAAAAGCTCTGAAGATTATAAATGCCCTTACAATCAGGAGCCGTCCATCGAAGGCATCTTCTAGATTAAAGAGTAATTAGATTGACGAGCAGCGCTGATTGTCAGCTCTTACCGAAACCACGCGGGAGCAACGAAACTCAGGCACCCAGAGGTTCTACCACGGTCAGACTCGACTGGCGTTTCATAGGCTAATAAACTTTCGGATTCAGGCCCATTTACAGATCAAACGCCGGAGCGCGAAGCTGCAAACATGACTTTGCTGCGGTGTGCAGGACAGCATGGAGCACACTCGCACGTACTCGTACGTGTACTTGATTCCGGCAGTACTTACGATAGGGTGAGTCGGCCAGCTACTGTTGTATGAGGGCTTGTGAAGTAGTACGAGTAGGAGTAGTCAGAGTAGTATGGTGGTAGTGGTGGTGGTAGTAGTAGTAGCAGTAGCGGGAGCAGTAGCAGTAGCAGTAGCAGTAGTCGGCGTCGTTGTCGTCGTCGATTTTTATGCATCCGTAGCGTTTTGGCAAATGTTTGCAGGGTTGCTCTGGATGTCTTCGGTTCATTCTGGGCATGCTTTGGAACAGAATCCTGCCGTCCCGTGCATAAACGAGGGCGTGTTAGATCTGCCGGAAGGATGCACATTGCCTGCTGGACTTGCCACGTCTCCAGACAAAAGACGGTGGCCTCCTGCAAGATCTATAGATATCTCAGATATCTCTATAGCTTTCAAGACGGCAGTTAACGGACCCCTGTAGCCCCTGTAGCCGGCAGGAGTGGAACTCGGACGTGGACATGCCCTTGAGTGAGGAGCTCGGACTCGGATCCCTGGGGGTAGCTCGAGCTCGGAGGCGCCTTCGAAGCCTTCGAGAGATCTCAAAAGATAGAGACCCCTCTTTCGCGTTGAAGACAGTCCCTCATGCAAAAAATGGGAATCTACCCGAATGCTTGTAAATTTGTACGTTGGCTGGACCGAAAATCCTGCACGTTGGCCGAGGTCGGGATGCTCCGGAAGCTGTGGAGGCTGGGGTCCCACGTGATGAAATGTTGAGTTGACCCCTGCTGGTGTCGAGCTGTTCGATGTGAGCAGCGGCATCAGCACACGTATCTATTGCAGTTCAACACAAGCAGGCTCAAAAGCCCTTCTGCTGTTCCCCCCCCACTGCACTGTTTCTACCGTATCGGCAGCGTGGACTCGACAAGCGGCTCTTGCGGACCTCGCAACGGGAACTGAGTACATTGAAACTTTGATATCAAAGTCAATCCTTGACAAGCCGCACTGTTGGCGTCGATGTTGTCTGCGTATAGTTCATAACGCTCCGTTTGCTTGAGGAGCTGGACAGGACCGCGCCCTCGCGCCGCATTGCTGCACGTGGGGCACCCAGACATAATCAGCTTGCGGCTCAGGTCCACGGACCACGGATTTCTCTACCTGTTTCTTGCGCCCGCAGCTTGAAATCCTCAAGCGCCGGCCTGCAGAATCACGAATCTCCCACAGCTGAATCAGCCTGTATACTCGGCAAGGCAAGGACTCGCTTCTCTGTAGAGCGCTCGGCATGCCAAGCCCGACAGCATCAGATGGATGCAGGGTTTACATACTGCATCCGTCTCTACATGATAAAGACCAGCTCGTAAAGCTTTCTTTTTGCATGTACGACGGTGAGCCACCCACATATGGTGAGCGAAAACTAGCTTCGTGTCATGTCGTGTCCCTAGAAACTAGAGAGTCTCCAGAATCCGTATTTGGCAGCCATGACACCGAATCTTACATGTCTCGGACAATACTGTAGCAACTGAGCTATTTCCTGCACTGGAGCACATGGCAGCTGCAGCGGCAGCTCCGAGGTACCCCTCAGACCGACTCTTCATGGCCTTGCAAACGGGTCTTGAAGTCTTCGCTTTCCGTTGCGATTACCTCATCAGCCGTGGCATGCCGGAGGGGGACTGTTTCTGGTGTTTTGCTGCGTGTGGTTTTGTATTGTTCCATTCTGAACTGCTGTCCAGATGTTCTGCTGTTTGCTTGCATTCTGTGCTACCCCGGTTTTTCGACTTTAATTACTGTGACGATTCGGATTGCAGTTGAGTTGAGCAGAACAATCTACCCCGTGCATGCAGGCAGGCCCCCATTGAGCTGGAAGACATCGGCGTTCTCAGGAGATTTCGTGGCTCCAGGAATAGCCCAGTAGTAGCAACAAGCAAGAAGAATGGCGACAGCAGTTCTATCGACGCCACTGTTGATGCAGCCTTGGGGATACGAAGTCTCACTATCTGTTGTTTTGCACACTGGCGCGATTGCACCTGATTGCTGGCCATATAGTACTCCGCCACCACTCAAGGATTCACGCTCTGTTAGTTATCTTGTCCTGTATCGTCTTCAGACCGAGAGTGAGCATCAACAAGATTCACGATCATGCTTCAAAAAGGTTCGTCAAGATTCTTCGGAAAGCAGACTCTGTCTCACCGTGGTGGCCGACCTGCAGCAACCACATCTTGCCCCCTATCTCCCTAACCTCCAAACGCTCCCTAGCAACGTCCGTCGCAGGACTGAACTCCGAGCGCTTCGCGAGGAATACGAAGTGCTCTCACGAGACTTGAGGACGAAGGGGGGCTCGGGAAGTTTGTAATTTCATCTTGGGCTCAAGCTCTTCAAGGTCAGCGACTTGAATGTTCACCTACATTGTATGCCTGTTCTGTCCCAGATTCTGCCCGACATGCGCGATTGTCGATATCTAGTGTCCCTCCATAATGATAAAAAGTCTCTGCTACTAGGTTAGACTCGGCTTAGGAGCACACGCCGGAGCCTGGCTTCTGGGAGAGGCCAGCGGCGGGACCTGAGGCACGGATCCCGGTAGCCCCCCAAGAAAACAAGTATTGGTACATTAAAGACTTTCAAGCATATACAGGTCAGAAGAATTTGCACACGCACACGTCGGAGGCAGCAGGCAGGAACATACATACTCGTCGAAAGCCTGTCAGGTTTCATTGCCTTATCGTGGTGTTGGACAGCTTGATGTCGAGTGCTAGAAGGGTTGGCTTGATGGGCAGCGAATTTCTCCGGATGTTTGTTTTTCGGGCCCCCCGCCTCCTGCAAGTTGTTTCGCTGACATCTCTGGCAGACTGTTCTGCAAGTTCAGTTTACATGACAAGTTTCCCGCATGCAATGGCGGCCGATCAATCCGTGCACCAAGGAATCGCAAACTGCGAATACACAAACAGACTCCACAAATGTCAAGCGCTAGATGTGGCTTCTTTGAATTGGTTACCACTCTTTGTGCGGTAGCGCGTATCTGCCATACTGGCGTTTAATAGTAACGAGCGCGGCAATCTTCTATAGAAGCCCCACAGCTCGTCCCGTAGCTGTCATTGTCCGTTGCGCCCCGGTGGGACCTTGGAGCGTGCATGGGTAATTGATGGTAAGTGATGGCCGCATTGAGACCTTGGAGGTCGGGGCAGCATCGGAATGAGTGCCACTCATCAGCTGGATCTTGCTGCACACAAGACTTGAGTTCTCGATCTTAGCAGTCCCTAGACGTAGCTTCCAACGAGATTCGGCTACAGCCATGCAGTGTGCAGTGCCAAAGTTGTTTGAGCCCGAGATCCCGGCAACACGTTACGTATAAGGTTGGACTCAGCACCTCGAGCAAGAACCAACAGTTCCGACCCATACATCACCTTCGGCTGAATTCTGCTGGGTGTCTCCAAAGCTTCAGCCGGCAAAGAAATCCTGCAATATGCAAAACTCCTCACAGGCAGACTTGGCCGTGCTTGTAGCGATGTTGAGCCGATGCGCAAACGTAAGGCCTGCATCATGTTAAACCTCCTAACTTGTAGATTGAGGGCATCCTCTGAAGCTGGTGGGGTGGCAATGTATAGCATGTCGATGGGCCTGCAACGTCATCAACGACAGGGGACGGTACCAAGGAACCACAACCATCAACCCAGTGACTCCATGCACCTAGACTTGTCCTGAAAACTCCACTGCGGTAGAAGAAGGTGTGTTGCCAGCCGTTTGACATTGGTTTCAGCGCCAGCTTCAAGCCACTCCCGGATCGCTTGCACCACCGTAGACATACTGGTCATTCAGAGGACCAACGCAGCGGAAGGCGGAGTTAGCGCTAGACACGTGCCTCCATGTGAATGCCAGGCATCCAGGAGAACTAAAATTCAACGGTTATCGTCCCCCCAACGTTTGTTTTTGCAGGAAACAAAATTGCGGGGAACAGTTTACTTGTGGAAAGCATCAAATAGGATTCCGTTCAGCCTTCACATACATCGCAGTTTAAAGACCCTGACGTTCCGTGTTCTGAGCCTTACAGGAGCTGGACCGCACCCGCCCCAACCGCGCCTGCCGCCACCGCGCCCTCCCCCACCACGACGTCTGTCTCTGCAGAGAACGCAAATTCCAACAAACACCTTCGCCATTTCCTCTGGGGTCACTGAAACAAGCAAACTTCTACCACCAGAGTGTGTTTTTCGCTGCTGAAACAAACAAACTCATTTGGCCGCAGATTTTAGCATCTTTCGGCCCCCGACACAAACTCGTCGAGCCAGAGTTGTGGTTCCAGCTCTCAGTTGTCGCAACTTTCCAGCTTGCAGGCAGAAGGTCGCAGATCGTATCCTGGCAGCATTGGGCCCATCCTACAGCAGATCGAGACCCGTACCGCTGCTTTGCTGGCAGTGAGCCGTCCAGGCGAGGAAGAGACTTCGAAGATCTACCGGGAGCTGGGATGTGCGGAAGAGGAGCCTGACCTTCTCTTCACCTGAGAGCACAACCGTCGGAGCCAAAGAGCTACTTCAGATCAGGACGTCCTGGCCCTGCAGAAGTGGCGGCAGCTTGCAAAGGAGGAGGCACACTCAGACAAACACATCGCCTCCAGAGATGTGTAGGGCAACCAGCGGTCAGACGAGTGATTCGGACCTGCGGGGGATGAGGAGCTTGGCATTCCGGGACTACAGTTGATATGTAGTGATATGGTATAAGTATTTATCTAGTCACATCTAGGAGATTTTTTGTGCGAGATTGTTCTGCACCGACGTGAGCCTGGCTCAGGCCAAGAAAGCGAACGAAATTATGCAAGGCATCGAGTGGCTTGGTGCAGAGTTGGGTGGGGGCAGCAGTGGGAGTTTTTCCACTAGGTGGGGTCTCGTTGACACATGTTGCCACCGTCTCGCACAGCCCCGCAGATGAATCTGCAACATGCTTTCCCATGATCTTTGTGTTCCCCGCGTGCCATAATTACACTTGCGTGCGTTCTGCACGGCTGCAGGGCGTGGTAGGTGATGCTGGGGTTTTTGTCCTTGTGTGCCAGCTCAGCTTCCAGATAGTCGGCCGTTGGATTTTTGCATGTGGGCCAAGGAGCGAACGTTCTGCGAGCGGCATTCGAATTGCAGATCTTAAGGTGGGGTGGAGAGTTTTCAACTGCTGGCAGCCGGATCACTGCTGTGTCTAATCAATAGTCATGCTTCGGTAGTGTTTGCCGGGTCGTGACAGGCCGTGCTGAAGCGACAGGGCCGGCCAGACACAGCAAAGGCGCAGACGGGGTTTTCAATTCTGCCCACTGCTCCATAAGCTAAGGACACAGTAGGTAGTTCAGTCCAGGGACGAGATTTGTATGTAGACAGAAGCACACCCTCGTAACAGCGACGAGGAGCCCTGAAATAAAGCGATGCCCCTGAACCCTATCGCGCCAAAACCATAAACCCTTACCCTACCCGTATCCTACTCGTACCCACACACCCTAAGCCCCGTGCACCTGACCTCAACACACACACAAATCTGCACGTACACGTACATGCATGCGTACATACATACATGCTTGTATTGGATACAAACACGTATGTTTTTGACAGATGTCACTGCCTAAATGCCCGGACATACACACATAGCCACACACACACACGCACACACACACACATACACACACACACACGCACACACACACACACATACACACACACACACACGCACTCATGCATCCATACACGCCATACATGCTTATGTCTCCATGTTCACATTCACATACGTGTGGTGTATGACATATTCTTATGCATGCATACACATGTACGCATACATGTGCATGTACATATACACATTGTTGCTTGATGCCTGGACGGCATTATTAGGATTGACTGTCCACGATGCTGTTTCGCTTTGTGCTACATCTGGTACTTGTTATTACTGTCGTCGGCTTTGTCGCTGGCGCTGGTGTTGTGGTTGGTGTTGTCGTTCTTGTGGTGGTTGTTGTTATTACTGCTACTGGTGTTGATGTTGCTGTTGGTGTTATTGTTGTGGTCGTTGTTGTTGCTGCTGCTGTTGACGTTGATGTTGATGTTGTTGCGGTTGTGGTTCTTGTGGGGGTGTTTGTCGGTTGT